CTCCAGGCGCCGGAGCAGATATTCCCCTGCAGCCTCTGGGGAAGACCATGGTGAGGCAGGCTGTCCCCTGCAGCCCATGGAGGTCCATGGTGGAGCAGAGATCCACCTGCAGCCCGTGGAGGACCCCACGCCAGGACAGGGGAATGCCCAAAGAAGCTCGCGCTGGAGCAGGCTCCTGGCAGGACCTGTGGCCCTGTGGGAAGAGGAGCCCAGCCTGGAGCAGGTCTGCTGGCAGGGCTTGTGACCCCACGGGGCACCCACACTGGAGCAGTTCGTGAAGACCTGCAGCCCATAGGAAGGACTTGCATTGGAGAAGTTATGGAAGTTATGCTGGAGCAGGGGACAAGTGTGAGGAGTCCTCCCCCTGCGGAGGAAGGAGCTGCAGAGACAAGGTGTGATGAACTGACCCCAACCCCCATTCCCCATCCCCCTGCGCTGCTGGAGGGGAGGAGGGAGAGAAATCAGGAGTGAAGTTGATCTTGGGAAGAAGGGAGGGGTGGAGGAAGGTGTTTTTAAGATTTGGTTTTATTTCTCATTATCCTACTCTGATTTCATTGGTAATAAATTAAGCTGATTTCCCCCAGTCGAGTCTGTTTTGCCTGTGACGGTAATTGGTGAGTGATCTCTCCCTGTCCTTATCTTGACCCACGAGCCTTTTGTTGTATTTTCTCTCCCCATCCCTCTGAGGAGGGGAGTGATAAGGCGGCTTTGGTGGGCACCTGGCATCCAGCCAAGGTCAACCCACTACAAATGAGAAATTAAATATTTCATTTGAAAGGCAAAAAAGCGGTAAAAGTTACTATTTTCTCATCAAAACTGCTCATTGAATGTGATTCAAATTGGCAACTGGTTGCAGACATCCCTTGAAAACTATGTAATTTAGGAAAAACAACAAATAAAAAAGTACACATAAACTCCAATTTTAAACTCCTATCCAGCGAGAGGTTTCTCGCTGCTGGCTGTATCATGAAGGTCCCCAAACTCACCTCTGACCACCTCCAGCCGCATGTTCTTTTTGATGTCGTTGAACCAACCCGGGATCTCTATGCGGCAGCAGTATGTACCTGCATCTTCTGCCTTCAGTTCCCCAATCGTGAGAGACACATCTCCATAGGAAATATAGCCCTGGAGACTGTATCGCTGAGATTTTCTGTATGTCACTCTGTTCCCAGTGGTGTGCAAAATTTTGTTATTGCACTTCGAATTTGGGCACGGGCCTCTGCCCCAGCACATATCGGAGATGTCCTTACGTTGTGCCACCTGATAGAAGCAAGGCAACTGAACAGGTTGCCCTATTACTCCTCTAATGACTTCGGATGTGGTGTGCGCTGTCAAGGAAGAACAAGGAAAGATGAGTGTTGACAGTCTCCAGTGCGTGACTCTACCTATGCAACACAACGAGGCAGGAAAAGAAACACTCCTGCCTGCAGGCAGGCCACAGTTGCTGATCCCCCAAGCCTTCCCCTGGAGCCTGTGGCAACTAATGGCCCGGGGCACTATGGGCAACAGCCAATATCTTGCAGACATTGGCTTGCTGCTGGAGGGCTGCTCACAAAATGTATCCCTCACATCAAACACATGGTGAGCGAAGCTGAGGTCTGTCGCTGGCAGCCTGAGCGCAGACTAGACCTCTGCAAATGGAATTTGGGACCTCTGCTCCCATCCCATCTCCTCTTCTAAGAGACTGAAAGTTGTTCAGAAACCTGGTGTGAAATACATCTGGTTTTCTCAGTCCATCATCATCTCCTTCAAAAAGGAAATGCTGTTGTAGTTGCCTTTCAATGACAGTCTCAAAAGCAGGGTCCAAAATACCTATTCATGTGTGAAATTAGAGCCTAATTAAGCTGACAGAGCAGTGGGATCCGTCTATGGGAACCCGTTCTCAGAAAGTGCACTGCTTTTCTGTTTCCGAGCAAGCCCTGCCAACTATCCCACTTACCTTGCAGAGCACTGTCCACATAGACACTTTAACTGCTAGCATTATACTGATGTTAAAAAGAGCATATGCATGCTTTCCTTGTGCTCTTACTCTTAATGACCAGCTTTACTTGGTGTTTACAGCCAATACCCACCTTAGCATCTGGTTTGAATCTTTGCTACGTATTGTTCCTTCTTAACTGTCTATGCAGTTCCCAGATTGCCCTAAAAGTGATTTCTTCTTCATGAAAGGCACTATACAAAAAAGGTTCCCATACAGGAACAAATCTTTTCTGGTTTAGATTCACCTAGTCTGTGCCTGTCCTCCTACCTTGTTGCCTTCTTCCCCTGTGTTATCATTTACATACGGTGAAGCAGGAACTGAGGGGCCTGGGGAGCGTCCAGACCTGGTCCTCTGCTGCAGCAAGCGGATCATCCCGCAGATCTGATGTCTCATGGCCAACTTGCTTATCCCAAAGAGGACTTACAGCAGTTGCTGCTATTATCACCAGCTTTGGCCCTGGCTTGCCAAACATTTCTATTTTGCCAGCTGTTTGAATGCCTTTTCTTTTTGGCATGACTCCCAGGTAGCAAACAGATGCTTCCAACTGTGTCCATGTCTCTTTTGTTTTGTCTTTAATGGACTATTCCCCAGGTGAGGTTTTAGTCTGTGGCAGGCTGCCTCATGACTTGTTATTGGGATGACATTTCAGCTTCATTATTGCTTATCCCATTGGCAAGATAAGCCAACTCATTCAGATTTCCACAGCTCCAAATGCTAAAAGAGTAGAGGCAGACAAAACAACATGCAATACGGTGTGAAGAGCAGAAGCTTTTGCAGTGAAATGAAGGTAGGATGTGCCAAAAAAATGAATTCCTGAATACAGGATAAGGCTTTGCAAGATGGCTGCTTGGTTTAGTCCTTAGAAAGGGTAGGTTCATTTGCCTTCCTACAGCAAAACAAGCAGAGGAAATAGCCTCTTTCTGCGACGACAGAACAAAACAGTTCATCCAGTTGACCTTGAAAGTATCCCTAGGGGAGCAGAGGGTTAGTCACCGAGCAGGTTAACACATATTTTCAAGTCACCCCAACAAAGAGGTGTGCAAAACCAAGACCAGCTTGAACTGTTTCTGACGTTAAGGTCACTACTGCTTAAGGATAAATGGGCTCATCTTCTGTTCCTACTTCGTCCCAGTCTTGCACAGCACAAAAGCAGCTTCATTAAGTAACTCTTTGACAAAAGAAAATTCGCCTGCTCTTCTCTTTGAAAGAAGCAGAGCCCTGGACTTATTTAATAAATAAGTAAATAAATAAATAAATAAAAAGAAGAAGAGGGAAGAGACAAGGCACCAGAGTGTCTCCAGCGCAGTTTCCCACCAGTATTGGTGCTAGAAAGTTACAGGTTTTGCAGTTTCAAATCCTCTTTTAATTTATGTGAAGCTAATATTGCCAACATCTGCCTGCACTGCAGGTTGGTATGGAAAACTTCAATACGGCAACAGCCTTGACTTGACAGTATGAACCTCTGCAAGGACTAACTAACTTCCTTCTCAGCTGCAGCCTCTTCCATGGACACATTATCCAAAAGAAATAGTAAATAGGACTGAATGAACGTGTCTTTGAAATTAAGAGGTTTCTCAGATTGTGACACCCTAGCCTTACTGTGAGAGGAATCCTACCCTTGTCCGTGGCAGTGACCCTCCTAGGCACCTTGATTTGACCCAAGGCACCCTGAGCATCAGCTGTACCTTGCTAGTCCCACTGCAGTCAGTGAGGTTTGCCACTCTGAGTCCTTAATCCAAGTGAGGGCAAAATGGACTCCATCTCTTTAATACATCTTCCAAAATAGAAAGGGGTATTCATAATTTTTCAGATCATACAGATATACACATGTTTATATACAGTCTCTCTTGAACCAATCCTCAGTGACAGTTGGTATTAAGCTGTAACTCCAATAGTTGCTGTTGTAGCGGTCTTCTCTCCTGTAGACTGGTCATTGGATGGACAAAGACATACATCCTCCAGCCAAGACAGCTGGTGGAAAAAGATTTTTTTTTCTTGATCTATTTCTGGAATAATTTTCCTTCTTTGTAGAAGACACTTGGCATCTTTTCCCTGTCAACCCTTTTTTTTTTTTATTTCTTCTTGAAGCTTCTGTACTGATGAAATTGCAGAGAAAATGACTGATAAACAGAAAAGAAGCATTTAACTGCCCACTCGGCTGGTTTCCTGAGTCTCAAGACTACCCATTCTCAGCGCTGAAATGAGTTAAGGAGAAGGTAACAAAAAGCCATTCTCACCCTTCAGTAGCTCTGCGTATAAGAAAGTTTTTGAAAATTAGACCAAATGGAGGGGAGTACCTCCAATTTATTTTGAGGCTGAAGATATGGCAAGGAAAGAGCCTTCCTGTTTCTTCTCCTGAGACTGGCAAAAGACAAAAAATATTATGGAATTCCCTGGGCTACAGCAAAGTGCGAGTGAAGCTCCACTTCAGCAGTAGACACCGTGGAGGTTGTGTTACCTTGCCTCAAAGGGACACGGTTCACCTCTTGCCCCTCTGTATCCTGCCGCTGACCAAACTTTGCCACTACTTTTCAGATCAATTTAAGAACATCACAGTTGCTGTAGATGTGTTATGTAACATTTCATCCTGGCAGAGGTTAGCCAATTAATATTTAGTCATCTGACACAGAATTTTCTGAAATGCCTAAGTGATTTAAAAGCTCCCATTAGGAGCTCATGCCCCAGTGAAAGTGGGTGAACTCACATTGCTGAGCCACCTCAGACGATTTGACAACTGCATTGCTGATGCCTAAATGCACATGTAGAAATGTAGCCGATACCAACCACGCTTGCAAAACCCAGCCTCCCAAGTTACTCTTCTTTGCCTTCTATCTTTTTTAGGATTCAGATTTTAGGTGGGTGAACTGAACACTTGGGAGTAAAAGGAGAGGAATCTCCAGCAGCGCTTTCCCATACTCAGTTCATAGCAGCAGGCAGCCCTCAGAGTTTCAGAAAATCCTTTCTTTATCACGTATTCATTACTCTGTCAGTATTTCAGTTCCCTAGCTTGGGCTGTGTCAGCACTGTAGCATGGTGGAGAGGCAGATGAAGCAGCAAAGCCAGCAGCACACATATAACAGTAGTAAAGAAATTAGATAATTTGGGGGGACGGGGGAAGTAACTAAGCCTATACACAGAGGAAACCACAAACATTTTTAAAAAGTAAAAAAAAAAAAAAAAAATTGTTGATCAGTATTAACTCAGTAAGTTAAGAAAACTTTTGAAGTTCTGTATACAATTATGACATTTTTTTCACCGTTTTGTTTCCACAAAACAAGTGTCACTGGTTTTAATTTTACAAAATTTTTGTTTTCTGAGCAAGCACACAAAAAGAAGGTGAAGACTCACCTATAAAGGTCTGTATGATAATCCAGTGAAACAGCACAAAATGGGGCATTTTAGCTGACGAAGACTCCAGGGCAGTGAGTGGAAGGAGAGAAAACTAGATCTTATGCTTCCCAGAGATGCTGAGTGAGCCCCACTGAAATCTCATTTCTCCATTTCCAGGTTTTATGTACCGCAACTGCTTCTTTCCTACGCTTCCGGAGAGAAGCCAGTCTAAACAGATGATTCTCCTGCTGCATTTAGCAATGGTGCGGCCTCACCTTGAGCACTGTGTGCAGTTCTGGGCCCCACAATTTAAGAAGGATGTGAAGGTCCTTGAATGCGTCCAGAGGAGGCCAACAAAGCTGGTGAAAGGGCTGGAAGGCACGTCCCTGAGGAGCAGCTGAGGACTCTGATTTGTCTAGTTTGGAGAGAAGGAGGCTGAGGGGTGACCTCATTGCTCTCTGCACCTTCCTGAGGAGGGGACGTGGAGAGGGAGGTGCTGAGCTCTTCTCCCTGGGATGCAGTGATAGGACACATGGGAATGGTTCAAAGCTGCACCAGGGGAGGTTTAGACTGGACATTGGGAAGCATTTCTTTACCGAGAGGGTGGTCAAACACTGGAACGGGCTTCCTAGAGAGGAGGTCGATGCCCCACGCCTGTCAGTGTTTAAGAGGCATTTGGACAATGCCCTTAATAACAAGCTTTAACTTTTGGTCAGCCCAGTGGTCAGGCAGTTGGACTAGATGATCGTTGTATGTCCCTTCCAACTTAACTATTCTATCCTAGCCCATTCTATCCTAGTCTCCTTTCCTCTTCCAAGACACTCAGCATGGTACTGCCACCAAAGATTTCTATATACTATTTGTTTTGCCTTCCCATGAAAGTCTACGGCCCGTTACCATTCTGTGGTGCTGACCAGCAAAACCAAGCTCTGTGCTCTTACACTCCTAAACATTTGGCTTAGCCTCCACCTCCGACTTTGTCTTCGGTTACATTTTCTTAATCCCCTCATTTCCCCTGATTCTGCTTTCTGCTTGAAGACCCCTCTCTTTCTTTCCCCAGCTTCATATTTTGTATTTGCAAAGACAGCCTTGGAGGAACTCTCACGAATGTTTTCTCGCTAAAACAACATCCATCCCAAAGATCTGCAACAACATCCCCAAGATATAGTTTTTTTACTCTTTCTGACTTTTTTTTACTTTCTGACCAATTGATAAAGAAGTTCTGTGGAAGTTCTTCTCTGGAAAAGATGAGTAATAAAGCAAAAGTAATTGAGGGCATTAAGGTCAGGAATGAAGAATTGCAGATAGAGAAAATTCTGTGCAAATAAATGTAGCATGGTGCAAACGGGAAAGCAATTCCAAGTTCAAATGATAAAATGATGGGCTTTAACCAGATATTACCCCCTCAGGAATGAGATTTTGGGCTTATCATGCGTAGTCAAGCCCGTGAAAATACCACCCATCTGCTTGGTAGCATTGAAAGAAGCAAATCAAATTTTAGCAGTTGTTAGTAAAGCCATAGAAAACAAAGCAGAAGACAGCATTACACCACTGTACAAATCTACCTTGTATTCTGTGTATAGTTCTAGTTCCCTCAAAAGCATATCTTAGATCCAGAAAGGGTCCCAGGAAGGGCAAAAAGAATGGAGGAAAGTATGGAAGAGCTTCCACAGGAAGATCAGATGAGTAGTCCAAGATGAGTCAGCCTGGAAAAGAGATAACCTAAGGTGCACCGTGAACAGGTCTACAAAATCTTGAGTAGCATAGGAAGGTTGGAGAGGGATTAGTTGTTTGATATGCCCCCAACACAGCATCAGAGAAGGACTCTTGTCCTTGCAGACCTGTTCGACTCGGTAGTACACTGGAGTAGGAGGCTACCTCTCGTTAGCATCCTCATCCATCACACCACCACTACGTTACAGTGGCAAGTAGTCCCCCAATAGACTAGGCTCCAGCAAAGCCAGGATGCCTGGTTTCTTTCACCAGCATGTCGCCAGCTGATGCTGTAACCAACTTAGTGGCAGATTCAAGCAGCCTGAAGCTCAGAGAACTATTCTGAGTTCATTCTGAATCGAAGCGATGCCGGAATGCTGCTCTCTACCTTCACATGTTTCAGTGCAGCATAAACAGCAACCAGTGGGGACAGACACAACAATACAGCAGTGTCTTCTTGTCAACATTATAAGGCAGGTTAACCTTCAATCAGTAAAATATCTAATTTGCTATATTCTACCAGGTACAGTTCATACAATGCCAAGTACACACAGCCCCAGCTGTTCTGCAAACAGAACTAATGAAACCTGATGTGTCCAATATCCTGGAGACTTTTTCCCTGCAATGATCCCAGTTTCTCCTTTGTCTCCCATTGCTCACCATTAAGCAGTGGCTGCGAGCCCATGCCCAGCTGATGCCAGTGCAGGGAGCAGCTGAATCCCACCTGGGGCACAAATTTGGAGCTTTATCCAGCTACCAATTTCCATGATGCTTGTCAAAACAGAATTGGTCAGTACAGGCAGGTGATTAGGGAAGGAAGATGAACACAGCATCATGTCAGCTTTGTTTCTTTAGAAAGACTGGGCTAAACGCAGCAGAGTGAATTAAAAGGCCATCCAAAATCCAAGTGTGCTGGGAAGAACCAGAAAAATGTGCCTTGCTTTCTGCTTCTGTACTGCTCTCTAGTGGCTTCTTGCAGGCAGAAAAGCAAAGGCAGAGAGCTGTCTTGAAAAAATCAGTTTGCAGCTCGTTAGCCTCATCATGCTCAATGTGCTGCCAGTTTGCATGCAGCTGGGTAATCCCTTAATGGGTGAACAGGTTCCAAGTGCCACCTGCTCATCTCTGGGGCTCATTTTGAAATGCCTCTGCCAAGATCCACTGACACGAGTGGAAGTAATGAAAAAGCACAGGGAGCTTCTGCCTGCATGTATTTGTGTGTATTAAACTGCACATCCAAGGTGAAGTTCTTGCTCTGCACAACCTTTGCAAAGTCTGTTTAACAAGTAATTGTATAGCAGAAAGGAAACTTTACTCAAGAATTTGGTTATCAGATATTCTAGAACTTTATTTTACATGCAAAACTCACTGATATAAGAATTAATCTGAATTAGTCTGTAACATTAAGAAAAAAATCCTTATGGGCAAGCAGTTTTCATGTTTAGCAGTCTTAAGGATGGTCCTCAAACTCCTCAAGAGTATGAGCGGATGAAATCAGATAATTTTGGAAACCCCACACTTGTCTAACTCTGATCCCAGCAAAGATTGATTTGGTAAAATTGCAGAAAGCAGAAATTGCTGAAGATGTTTTCTGAGCTCTGGTTCAGAGATCAGATCAGACTTCCTCCAGCTCCAGTCACGGGCTAGAGCCCACAGCAGCAACGTGCTCAGCCAGGCAGAAGGAAAGCAACGTCTGCGGTAGGGTCAGTGCTTTTAATTTAGTAATTGTTACTAATAGTCAAATACAAAAATACAGTCTAACACCGGCAGGTCCTCTGTAGTTTCAATACCTTCTTACACAAAGCAACACGTGACATGAAGGCAGAAAATAGCAGAGCTGGTTTTCTCCATCGCTTTTTCTGGCCCAGGGATCAGTAATCACCTAACATCTGTGCTCCCACACTGAGCTCATCAGTCAACCAGGAATTCACCTCCACATTTTCAACCTTTTAGACCTGCTCCAACAGACAGCCCCAAGGCAACGCACAGCACAAGTGAAAATACAAAGCACACAGGGTCACCTATCCCAACGTGCTTTCCATTTCTTCCTTCCTCAACAAGATGAGGAGACTTTCCCTCCTTCATGAGTCTTTGCAAGCACACTTGCCTGCAATAGCCCACCTTAGCCAGGCTCTCCAGGATTCCTGGGGGAAAACACTCCCGTCCCCAGCCAGCCCAAGCCCTCCCATCTCTACAGCTGAGGGAAGGAGGGGTAACTGCTCCACTGACACCAGCTCCCCTTAAAGCACAACCAGACCGTGGCCTCAAGCGTCTCGGCTGTTAACATAAATAACTATTGATTTTATTATTGCTCCTTTATGCCTCATTGTACAATACAGCTTTGTTCTTTGCATGACTCCCTCAAAAATGATGACCTCAATGATAGAAAGGATGCGGTAAGTCTGTGAGTCTTCCCCGTGGCAGCAATGTCTGTTTTAAGTATTCTACGTTGCTGCTTGGGATGAGCTTCAGGGCAAAACTTGTACTGACCAATATTTGGCAAGAGCTGGTCTCTCTCCTGCCTGTACTACTTTTCTGCTCTCTCAGGAAGTCCCCAGCCTCTGTTTAAAAATATGTTCTTAAAAACAATTGGGGAAAATTATTCTTCCACTTAAAGCTGATTTGGGTGTGTTGTGTCTATTGCTCAACAATATGCCTAAAGTGTTGATTCATACTCATGGGGCTGCCTCCATTTATTCAAGTAAACCAAAGTTTAGTGTTGCAGAGAATAAAAGCTGAGTGCCATGTCTGAGGAGCAATGGAGGAAAGGCACCAGGCCACAGATATTCCCCATTTATGAGCTGAAAGCCATCAAACCCAGCATAAGACATGAGAGTTGTTTGGTATCTAGAGGGGTGTAAAGGCAGGGCAAACTTTCAGCCAATATTTTGTGCAATGTCCATGACTTCTCCAAAAGCTAAGAAAAGTAAGAATTTAATTAACTTTACAAAGTAGTTATTTTCTGTTCAGTTGTTTTAGAGGCCTGAAAGTGAGATTCTCCACCCTGAGGACTTCTCAGGGCATAGGCAGGCCCGAGGAGAAAGCCACAGAAAAAGTGATGCGTTTCGCAGAGGAAAACACGTTTAGTCATAGTTCTCTGAAAACAAGCTGTGAATATTCTGCACACTGAAGTACTGATCCTGGAGGCTCTGAGGACATCCCATGGCGGGGTGAGCATTGATAGCTCCTCCAGATTTAACTGTGCGTGGACAGGAATTAGTACATTGCATTACTGAGTTGTTACCAGCACTGGGTACACCTGACTTCAATGAAAATTCAACTAACTGTATATTGAAATACTAGTACTACCAAGTTTTTCTATGGTCATCTTTGTCACGGCAGCTATGAGATTGCTTCTGCCCCCTGATGGCATGGACTCTTTTGTAGCTGGCAGATACAACACACAGTGAAGACAAACTTTTAAAAAGCGTGTGTGGTTTTCCTTCTGTGATGGAGTAGCCCTTCTGGCACTTCCTCTTTTTTCCAAAAAGGAAGAGAGAACTTGAAGCAGATAATAAATATAATGGCAACTTTCTTTAGGGTTTGATACATGGATTCTGGAAATTTCCATTCAAGCCAGTAGGGTTTACGTTTCTGGAACAGGCTGATAAAGTTTCTAATTAGAAGTGTAGCTTTTATTTGTTTTATTAGAATGATGTGAATAATGCTTCAGTAGTCCAGTCACATTTAGCTGCTGAGCAGAGGGAGCAGCTAACATTCTGCAAAGTATTTAATGTCCCAGTGATGACAAAGACAAGCATGCATACAGTCCTTAGTGTATTATATAAATGTTTTCCTCTGCATGGATCTCATCTTCCAGGGCGCGATGGTTCCCTGCACGTTCTGGTCTCCAATATGCAACGAAGCTGCACAAAAGAGTAAAAACCATACTGTTAAACAAAAAATAGATAATAGAAACACAGAAAAGCAGATAGGTAAATCGAACAGCTCACTGGAAAAATGTAAAATATGCAAAAACACCTATTTAAACATGACTGATAATGAATCATTTTTCCACTTATAAGACAACCCACACTTGAAGTTTGCATGCTCCCTAATGCAATGAACTGACAGTTATACTCATTTTTGCTTACTAACTAATGATAAGTAGCAGGATTTATTAATTCCTGTTTGCATTGTTTCCTGGTAACTTGAGATTAAAAAAGAAAGTCAAAGTAGGTGGTGGAGCAGTCAGCATACAGAAAACATTTTCTTTCTGCAACCTAGTTTGTCTTATTAGCTAAAGCAGAAACAGAATACTTACTTTGCAAAGTCACCCATCTTCTTTGTGTTGTATAAATATTCTAAGGACCATCCAGAATGAAAATAAAGAAAAAAGAAAGAAAACAAATAATTTTCTTTAAGCCATCCGAAGCAAGTAAAGTAGCAGGTTCAAAAAAAAAAAAAAAAATCAGGTGTAAGAAACTAAATAAGGGAACTTCAAGCAGATGTTTTCAATATAGGAAATCCCCATTATTTCCATGAGATCTAATTCATATGGCTTGGTCTGACCAAGAGCCTCTACGGAGAAAGTCTGGCACATAGGAAAATATTGGATATAGTTACATGAAACCAGTGCCCCTCCCATTGGGAAAGACTGGGACAACATGGCAACTGAGGAATGGGTAGGAGGAAATGAGTGGGGCCGGGGAGGTGGGCTTGTATCACGCATCTCCTCACCAGACCGTGGGTCAACTGGTTGCTAAGAAGTCTGCGACAAAGTGATGAGACCACAGGTCCCACAGGCCAAGGGGGAGAGCTGAGCAAGCAACCACAGCGCAGGGCACAGGGTGAGGCCACCCAGAGACCTTAGGTCACCTCCCTGAAGCAGAAGACATGTGGCAGCTGCCACAGCTGTGATGATAGACATACCTGACCAAGCCTTGAAAAGTACTTACGTCTAGTGAGGAACAGAGCCAAAATAAAGATGGCTAGAAGTACCGCACATAAACCAATCCCAATGTATAGCCCATTTTCTGAATATTGCTGTCTGGGAAGTGATACAGACGCGTCCTGTGAAGCACAAAACAGATGAGCATTAGTGGCACTGAGAGCAAGAAGCCCATCCAATACCCAAAGGCCATTTGTGAGTTTTGCAACCCTGCAGTAAAAGTACACTTGCTCTCAAGAGCCTAATTTGAGATACAGGACTAGTTTCAAGCAGAATCACTGCAACAGTTGTGTGAACCATGCTGTTAAACACATTATTTTTTGACACTGTCAAAGGACCTGAAGTTATGACAAATCCCATTTGTTCAGGTTTAATACTATTTGGTGAATATTTTATTTTTTATGATTAAAATATCTCCTGGTGTCACACCCTCCAAACTTTTTGTCAGCTTATTCAGTAGTTATTCAAGGCTTTATACCAATAAGTAAATATGCCTTCTCTTTGCATTGGTCTTTAGGCAAAAGTTCTTTCTGAAGCCAGCCGTTAGATATCTAACCTCTCATTAGGACCTCAAACCTGGAAAGACGCTGAAGCGCGGCACGGTCCCGACTTACGCTCCGCACATGCGGCAGTATGAATGCCCACAGCACATACTGCCTTCTAGTACATCACAGCAGGCCTTCCCAAAGGCTAGCTTGGCTGTCTTGTCTTCCTGTAAAATTTGGGTGATCTTACTGCCTGTCACCCTGCTAGATGTGCTGGAGGACTCAGCAGGACAGACACAGAGCTGCCTGTTTGAACCCTACGGCACAGGGAACGCAGGGCATCCCTCTGCTGTCAGGTGGGTTTCCCCATGTCCTGCCATACCTGCAAGTCTGAGGTTACATCCGAGCAGTTGGAGGTGCTTGAGCAGGGACCAGAGGTCTGAAAGGCAATATAGATGTTGCTAAAACTCTTCCTGCATTAGTAGGAAGTACTTTATGCATGTAAAGCAGATTTTCTTTTTTCCTCTTTAATAATGAACACATAAGCATTCTTTCATAAACACTAAGTGTTCAGACTACAAAAAAACCCCATTCTTTTGCAATCAACCTAAAGCAGTATAAGTGAACTGTAGGATTACCCAATAACCTCTCATGTCTATCCACTTCGCCTAGGTATGCTATAGCACAGAGATGCTTACAGTCCGAGGGGCTTCCGAAGCAGAAACCGATGGCCACGTTCTTGGGATGGTAAAGGATGATTCGCTGGCACTCCCGTGAGCTGAGCAAAGGCAAGACAAACACATCACTTCACAGAGAACCGTTCTGCCTTGACAGAGAGGAATTTGTACTGCTGACGCGGGATCACCAAACTTAAGTATCTCTCTATCAGGAGCCTCAGCCCTGCATATCATAAAGGGATTGGTGCCTTCAGAGGGCAGCACAAAACTCTGAATATTGGAGCCTCTGCTGTCCTTTTCAGAGCTTTGAATTCCTTCCAGGAAACACTTAATCTTGCTGTTATCTCAACACAGGGCCTAGAAGGAAGGAGTTACGAAGGTAGGCATCTGGTTTTGGAGCCAAGAAGAGGTAGTGGATGCCTAAAGCAAACTCAGGTTATTTGATGAAAACTGATGAAGGTTAGCTCAGGGCCTTGAAGGAACAAGTGGTGCAGAGTTAGAGAAAGCAAGTCATACTTTTAAAGTCCCAGACAGCTATACAGTAAACAGACTGACCAAAGCATGATATGTTTGCATAGGGACCTGCAGCATATTTTGAGGTCATTTCCCAGAGCAAAGCTGTTTGCAATATTTAAAATTCAGAGCTACAAATTCAGTCTCAGTTTCTTCATGTGTTGTCAGATGATATACAACCCTCCTGAAAACAAAACCTCCTGTTGACATTATGAAAACCCCAGCTGGTTCCTTTGATGTTTTAAATTGTTACCCTTTTCCCAGAAGCTTTATTTTGAAGAGGACAAGATCATGTGCTTCACTGCTCTCTTCCATTGGAGATGCTGGAGTATTCCTACCTCAGAGGCACATAGCCACCGGCCTTTTCCAGTCTCCCTCTGTGTGAACATGCACATATTAACTTGTATTCTGAAAACATAAAAAACCGTTCCACCAGCAGCTAAGGAAGATGTCACAGGGTTAAGAAAACCCATGAGTTCTATGACTGGAAGCCATGTTATTTGCAGCTAGAACAGAAACAGCCTGAGAACATTTTCACTTCTTCTTCCAAAAAGGAAATTCAACTGTTGTAACATTTTAGAGTTGCTTAGCTGGAAACATCCGAGATGGAGCAAGAAATACAAATGGCATCCCTGAATTTTCTTTCAAAACCCAGAGAATAAGCTATTGTTACACTATGAGCGCTCTCTTGTGTGCTAGAAATTAAAGTTGTCTTTTTCAGGCTGAAAAAGATGCAGCTGAGTGGGTATACGATAGGAGTCTATAAACTTGTGACTGGAATGGAGAAACCAAGTGAGGAATAGCTGTTCACTGTCTCTTCCACTACAGTGAGGGGCCTCACATTATTAAATATGCATAGGCTACTGAGGATGTGGGCAGCCTTTGAGACACAGGCTATACCAGGGCAGAAGAATACTTTGGCACTTTATCACAAAACTACTGCCCTGTTTCTACAGTCCTCCTTAATCATCTGCTGTTGACTGCTTTTGAGATAGGATCCTGTATTAGATGCACTTTTGAGCTAGCCCAGTAAAACTGTTCTGTGTTACAGAGCAACAAATAAATGGATTAAATAGTGGGCACACCCAACTCCTAAAAATTTGTGTTTTGCTGTTCATGGGATGCATTTCCAGAAGACGAGGAGATTTTATACCACAAAGAAAACCACACCAAAACAACAGCCACAAGAAAAACAACACTTGCAGCACCAATAAAACATCTACTTAAGCACAACACATGCAAGCAAACTTCCTCCCGTGTATACATGTTCCTTCTGTTGGACTCTATATAATGTCAAGCAGAATTTAAATCCAAGTTCTGATCTCTGGTTCTATGGTAATGTTTAGTAAATTTTAGCCAAGACATTTATATCATTTACCATTTTGTTTCCTTCCTAAAATCCCCATTTGCAGTACAGCTTATATATGCTATTGAGATTAATACTTGGATAAAAGTTACCTGAGGTCTGTTCAGAGGTGTAAGTGTGAGGACTTGCAGTAGAGATCCTAGCTGATGTTCAAAAATAAAACAAAACCGACATACGTTATAATTAACCTTAGCATGCATTTACGTAGTGAAAAAGAGAAAGTGTTTCTATAATAAAAATTTGCTAGCACCAGCTACACATCTGTCAGCCACTTGTTCCGTATATTAGTATGCTTCTACAAACAGGAGAAAAACTAAAAAGCAAAGGAAGAGTCGATAAAAAAAATTGTCTATACTAATTTTGTGTCCCTGGGCTTTACTCTGGAATCAAGCAGGGAAAATGAAGCACCGTTTTCTACGAAAAGGGTGCAAGTATAGCACTTTAGATGAATTCAGTACCCTATGCTGCCCTTTCTCTTAAATTCTTCAAATAGCGCTTCTGAGAAAGCTCAGTAGTGCCGTGCACCATGAAACGAAGCACCATGCCCTTTTTTTAATTGCAGTGACTGCGCTGGGATTACATCAATGCCAAAGACACCTTAATTTAAACAGCACTAACAGAAGATCTGCAAATTCCTAAAGATCAGTCCTACAGATGATTATAGAAATAGTTTCCACCACAAGCTTTGAAATCTAGACTCAACAGCAGGTTTACCACAATAGTACTGACAGAAGAGAGCACCTCTGCACTCACCTTTCTCTATCACAACCTTGTGATTACTCATCTGATCATTGAACCATCCTGAGATCTCCACGCGGCAGCAGTATATCCCACTGTCTGCTTCCCTGGCGTTCACGATCGTGAGGGACACATCGCCCACGAGCAGGTTCCCTTTCAACATATACCTGCTGTGGTACTGCTCTGTCACCCTCCATCCGTCTGTCCAGATAATGGGCTGATAACACTTTGAAACAGGGCAGCTGCCCCGACCCCAGCACATTGATGTGATGTCTTGTTTCTCCCTAACGTTGTAACGGCAGGGCACAGTGATATCCTGACCAATCTTTCCTTTCACAAGTGATCCCGATACCGTGGGGCCTGTGGACAAAAAGACAAATGTAGCTGTTGAGCACAGTGCACTCAGTGGAAGCTTCTCACACGTTTTGCATGACCCGATACCTCCCATCTCACAAACACCACCAGGCATTGCTGGAGCGGGTTTTCCACAAACAGATGTGAATCCCAGCAGGACTGACGCAGTGATTTGTTCAGAATGTGTCTCTAGCCAGAGAAAGAAGAAACACACTTTCTGCAGCCTCTGCAGGTAGGCAGAGAGGTGAAGAGAGAACAGAATTTGGATCTGCACAATTTGGTGGCTTCTCTTTAGCCCTGTCCGGTCTGTTAGCTCTTTATTTTTTTCCTTAGTTCAGATTTAACCCAAGCTACACATAGGGGAACAGTAAGACATTGACTTTCATTAAAAGCATCGTGGGGACACTCTTCCTCCCTTTCAATGAAAAGACACAAAATGGCAGGTTTCATCAGAATGATCACTGCTGAACACGTTCCCTTTTTTCTTGCCTAACGACAGATTTTGCCTATTCCTATCAGAAGAGATTTTTCAGAGCTTTTCTGAGAAATTTTACACCCTCTTTTTTCACTACCTTATTTTCTTCCCTCATTCTTATGCAGTTTCTAACTTGTTTGTTCTCATTAAAAGTAATTTTTCATGTTTCCAGAAGGCTGCGTCACGCTATTCAGGTCAAAACAGCGAGACCTCACAGCCAGTAGCCCATTCATCACAGTGAGATAGTTTCTTTTGCTGTATTTAGACCGCTCCAGTCAATATTCCCTTTAGGAGGGTTTTAATAAAAGCTGTATTAAGTGCCAGCCAAAATCATTTGTGCTCTGGTGATCCAGTCATAAACATCCTGTAACCACCTCCTTCCATCAGGTTACGCAGTGGGGCTCCTGAGGTCCACATTCTGCCTGCTTGCACTTCAAAGAAAACTGTTTGCCGTACACTTACCGCTACACATTTCTTACCAAATTCTGGAACACGGGATCACATGTAAATATTTCGATCTATCTGTATTAACATTTCAGGGATAGGATTCTCTGCAGCAAGCACAGGCAATAAATTATCTCTATTAAGTCAAGCCCAGTCTATAATTAGGGAGGGAGGTCCCCGAGGCAGGCCCGCCAACATGCAGCGGTGGATCCCAAGCCCTGTATGGCTTGATTGCAATTGTCCCTTGTGCAAAAGCTGTTTTCCCCAGCTCAGCTCAGTCATTTTTCCTAACCTAAGGTATTTAGTTAAAAATAAGTCTGCATTCAGAGACTTTGCCACAATATCATACTAGAAACTAATCTCTGAAAATAAGGTGTTTTATTTAATATAAAAAAGCAAGCTCTAAATGAATCTTATCATAAAAGGCTTTATAAAGAACCAGAGGAAATAATATCTGTAATATCCCTTTTCTTTCTGCTGAACATATTCTACCATCACATTTTTAATGTCTATCTGCCTATATTAGTACCACTTTGCAACCTGTTGTTTTCAGTGCTATTGGCTTTAACAATATTTTCCTAGGAGGACTGCTTTCTCAGAACAAAAAAGGAGAAATTATCAATTCATCCCAATAAAATTTCATATTGGCTAAAAAACGCCAGAAGCCACAGTTGACCTTTTCCCTGTCTTCCTAAGCATTCACCTTCACAAAGCCCGTTGAAGTGAAATATCCTTGTTTGACATCTTTTCTAAAACGATTTAGTTCTCTGCTCATCTCAGATCATTATCTAAAAAACCCAAAAGATCATTCATTAACAAGACTAGCAGACAGCCCAAGCAGCAGCATCTTTAAAACCATCATACCCTCAACATGATTTTGTTTTAAAAACGAGATAAGACCATCAGAAGACTATTGAGCTACTGTAGATAAATTTGTATTCATAACACAAAACTGCAGTCTCTGTGCCACGTGGCCACTCTTCCTGTTGTAACACAAAATTTCTGTTTGCAGCCCTCAGAAACATTGATGCATGTTACCTCCATCCACCTCCACCTCTTCGTTTAGGCCCACTTAGTTACCTGTAAACAGGATCAGAAGAATCCAGTTCATGCAGAAATAAGACGACATTGTGGCTGAAGATGAGGAACACCACTCCTTTTCACCCTTCGGGCACCTACTTTTAAGAAAATTTATCTTCTTCATAAACTTCTAGTTTTACTTCTTAGGACGTCATCTTCAGACACAGCTGAGAATGCCCTTTAGCCTAGGACTGTCTTTCCTGTGGTTAGTCTGTTAGTCTCTAGCAGCACAGCCAAGCACCGCTGCCAATACACAGCTGAACTCTCGCTGGCTATGGTTTGACTAAAAGGCTAAAATACTTTGCAGCACTTCAGAAATCTACTTCTCATTTTTTCCAGAGCTGCTTGATTACAGTAGATGAAACCGCTGGCAGCACCACTGAGCTGACACAACTCAGTAATCCATTGCCCCATACTGCTTCCCACACCTTTTTTTGCCATAGTAGACACAATTTGGATACGAGATACATAGGATATGTAACGGACTGTGGTAAACAGAAAGGACTTGGCAAAATAACAGATTCCTAGGAAGAATTACTTGAGCATTTAATCATAAATTTCTGGTTCTAATTCTTAGAAGCAGCTCAGAGAGTCTTTAGACAAATGCAGTTCTCTTTGCAGGCTATAATTTGGTAGTATTGGAAAGCTGCCCTACTGTTACACAGGTGTAACCTCATAGAGTTGCAGCCTTTCATCATCCGACTCTTAAAAATTCTGTATGCATCTGGGCTTTTGCAATACAAAGTAACATGCACAGAACAGAGGTCACTTTAAAAGCAGTGTGGAAACCCTATCGTCCCAGGCTCAAGGCTCACTTTGACAAAATGTTGCTAAAATCCAGCTTTTGAGCAATGGCATTCCCCAGCCACTCTCCCTGTCCCTGAATTACCTAACGCTTCTTGAGGAAATCTTGTCTTTTTATCTGTTTGGACTAGAACTGCAGCTGTGATCAAGTGTATTTGATCTAGGGCCAACAAACATTCTTTGCTGAAGTAACTAATCTACTTTATACCATTTTATACAGACAAAATTAAGTTATGTTACTTTTATTGATAAGTGAAACAGAAAGGCTTCCAAAAACACACCCAAAAACATACATTAGGCTAGAATCAGAACCAGCAGAGCTGTCTGGTACTGACTACCTTACATGAGAGCAGAGTCACCAAAGTGACAGTTTCTTTAAGCAAAAAGGAGGGAAAACGAGGGATTAAAGTAGCCAAGAGACAAACACTAGCAACATACTGTAGGAAAGAGCTGAGAAGGAGGGAGAAAGGGGAATTTTTGTATGCAGTGGCTGGAAGCAGGACTCTGAAGAAAATGCTTCCTCTTTGCTCCTCCAGTTTCTGGGAAGAGGAAACCGCAGATGCTGCAGGAACAATTCTGATCCTTAACGGCAGGATCCTGAAGCTGCTCTGCACAAATGGAAGAGGCAGGGCAACCTGGCTCTGGCAGAAGGCAGGTGACAGCATTCACCACAGCCGTGCCATGATAGCGCGTGGCACCGGCTGATGAACTCCGTTTGGTGGTTCAGTGCGTGGCAAACATCCACCTGCAGACCAGGACACGTCCCTTCTGCCAGTTACCGGCAATAACCTGCAGCATGCATGAATCCACGTGGATTCCTCCTGTGCACGGGCCGTGTCTGAGCTCTGAAATAAATAAATAGGATTAGAAAATAAGGGAACTGTTGTCCCAGAGCTCTGCCTGAGCCCATTCTACTCACTTCACCCAGGCTGCTTCGTTCATACGATAGTTTTCAGTAGTTCAGCTGCTGGCTGCATCCCCAGGAAAGCCGTTCTGGTCACATAGTAAGAGAATGTGAGAGCTACGAGGCAATAGTTAACCCACTTGCTTTGGATTTCATCTCAAACACAGACCATATGGAATGCCTCGATATAATTTCTGAGTTTCTACATGCCTGTTTTCCAAGTTCCTGTTTTTGTTTGTGCAAGAAATGAGCCCCGTTTCTGTAGAAAAAGCGCCAGTGCCATCTTTTTCATGCAGCCGTTAAAGTAGCTGCACATTTTTTCTTGACTCAGAGCATCTAGTCAGATCATACTTTGTGAAAATCAAACCAAACTGAAGTATTAAATATTGAAATAAGTTTAAAGCATTGTTGGGAAAATCTCTTCATTGCACTATTTTAAAGCCATATCATTAAATAGCTTTTCTTCTTTTCCTCCTAGATGGTCAGAGCTACACCCTTTCCCCTTTTGTCCATCGTGACACCCTTGGCTTCTCTGTATCAAGAAACTTTTGGAGCTTTTCAAGTAACTGCACTTCTGTTATCCCTGTGCTTGCTCAGAAAGTGTAACAGAAGGGCTGGGATTTTTCATAGAATTATAGAATCATTTAGGTTGGAAAAGACCTTTACGATCATCAGGTCCAACCGTTTCCTTTCCCTCCTTTTTTTTTTTTTTAATTTAGAAAACATCCAACAAAATGCTGCTTAACACCTGATGGTAACTTTATCTCATCAAGTTTCATAAGGCGTATACAATCCAATGCATATTGTATACATTAACATTTCAGGGGTAGAATACTTCAAATGTTATCACATCCAAAAATAAAACCAGGATTTGCCGAGGCAAGGCAAGATCTCATCATCAGGAGTGGGTAAATTAACACACTAGAGAAGACGACATTTATAATCAAATTTGGTAGTCAGTGCATCACATCATCCTACAAAACGCAACGTGCCCATTTCCCCAGACTAACAGGCACCCGCCACTCGCTGCCTGCACTGCAGCTACCGGCCGTCCTTTTCCCAAAAGCAAAGTTGTAACAGAAAAAGAGAAAACCCATCATTCCTTTGACCTGACAACAGAGGGAAAAAAAAAAATCAATGTTTTGGCTGAAAAAAGCCCAGGAAGCCTCCCGCAACTTTCTAAGGGTTTGCCTTAAACACAGAAAAAAATAATCTAGACTAAACAAATCATTCATGAAACTTTTTGGAAAGTGAAAGGAGCCTTAAGTACTTTTTAGATGACATGATCCCCGTTTACCTCAATGGTTTCACAAAAAAGTTCATTACCATTGTCAGTTGCTGCTAGGACCCAGCTTGTGCAGTATTTTGAAACTGTAGTACTCAGGCCTATGATTTTATTAAAAACATAAGAATTGGACAAAAATCAACAGAAAACCATTGAGCATCTATGACAGCTCTTTTTGAATGGCAAAGTTAAAACATCCGTGACAAACTGTAGTTCCGCAGTGCATGACCTCTCTTATCCAGGAGGCACTACACGTTTCTTCCTATCTTCCACATGAAACAACACTTGCAAATATATACCAGATTAATTCTGCTCACTTGCAACTGTTCTACAGTTATCTACAAGCAATATAATTTAGATCTAGTCCAGGGAGAAGGAAGGAAACAGTGGTGACTGAATAAAGGACAAAAGTGTTAACTTTGTTATTTATACATTTCTTAAAAAAAAAAAAAATGTTTCTACTTCTTTATTGTTACTTATGATGTCATGTACACGTAAAATAGCAGATGATGTCCTCCAACGAGTCATAAACTCACTTCAGTTCATTTCATCTTTATCTGCACTGAGCCCAATCCCCACCACCCAATGGCTACGTACTTTTGCCTGCCCATTTAAGTAACATTTCTGAAAACAACAGAATTTTTCACTTGAAACAGACGTAGCTTGTCAAATCATGGTTAAAAACAGAGTTTGTGTCAGTTCCCTCACTCATCAAGTTCACCCAGTTTTTAGCGTCTGTGCATGCTTTGGGAAACAGGCATACTGCGGTGCAACACGGCAAAAAGACAGATTTCCCTGACAGGAGGGGCAGGGTAAAGCAGCCACTTCTTCACTATCAAATCGCTCTTTTCCTCTTGCTAGGGGGGCTGATCCAACTCAAATGTTCTTAAAACATGGTTGATTCGGCTTCCACTTGATGGAATACTTGCAGGTTCTTTCAAACTTAGAAGTCCTCAATTAGTATAAAGGCTAATTAACTGATCAGACTCTCCTTCCTGAGAAAAATGCTCAGCTGGGCACACAGCCCACCTAAAAGGCAAATACAAAGCATCTGCACTGCAAAATGATTCACTTCATGCATGTACATTAACTATGCAGGAAACATAAGTTAGTTTAAGCATTTATGTGTAAAAAAGAAAAGTAAGTATTTTTGTAAGCTCAAGACTGGTTATGGCGTACATCTAAGACAGTTAAAATCCAATTAATTTTAATTCATTTAGTTGTTGAGATTCCTGACAGTGTCTCTATAAAGCAAATTACACCAGATTACATCTGTAATAAAGGAATGCTTAGGTTCTCTTTAGCACAGTTATATTATTACAAAGCTAGAAAGCAATAGATTTTGCAACTTGACACTAATTTTATTTTTAATATTGAATTATGCATACCTGAACGGACCCACTGCAATTGTAAACAACTAGCATTTATTTGAAATGGAGGAACTGTCAACTGCAATTCCTCTCAGTCAGATCCCTTACTTGCTTCCACACTACAAAGCAATTAAAAAAAAATTAAGCATACTCAAAAAAGCACAAAGGGACAAATGAAAGTACAACAGAAAAAGCTAACTTTAATCTGTGACTTCCACCTCACGTGATAAAAAACTTTTTCTTAAATGCTTCTATCAATAACCACACAGCTCGCAAAATATTAAACATTTTCATCTGCTTAGTCACTCACAACCTCCAACAAGTGTACAATAAATGCTTTGTCTGCTTATACAACAGCAAAACAAAACAAAACATATACCCTCAGAATGCATTCTGCTTCTCACTATGGCGAGCTAACAAAATAAAAAAGCATTTTCTTCATGTCATTTCATCAATAATGCTACACATAGCTGCATCTTTGTCTAAAACCTGATCTCTCTTGCCACAGGAACGCTCCCTCTGTTTTTCGCTCTGTCCAATACAGTTGCTGCCATCATCAGTATCCATTGTTTCTACTTTCACCCTCAGTCCTCCCTCTGAATGAGGCAGATCATCAGGCAAGGAAGCCAGGCAGTTCTGAATCATCTCTACAACTCGCTCTAAGTGCTTCTGAAACCGCTCTGCCGTTTCCAAACGCTGACGTTTCTGCACCTCCATCATGACTCTCAGCGTCTCCCTAGCTTGGTGAGGGCGATACTCATTTATAAGATGATGGACATGAACAAAAAGCAGTTTCAAGTCTTCCAGTTTCTCTTCTCGCTTTATACTCCCTGGACTCCTTATCAAGATATCCAAGAGGTCCAAAAAGTTGACCAGGATAGACATGTTAAGTTTTCTTAGCTCCTTCTTGTGATCAAACTGCATAGGATGTAGCCGTTCAATACCTTGGCTCTCCAAGGGCCGAATAATCAGATCATCGCATTGAAACTGATTACCAAACATCATATAACTGTCTTTCACAGGTGGAGGGGGCTTTGGAGCCAGGCCTTTACGGATATTTTCGTCAGTATATTCTTTTATATATTGCATTGGAGGTGGAGGAAGGGCACTCACTTGCTGAGGTTCACCCATTTTTGCCAGACGGAAATACCTAGGGAGTGTCCCAAGAAATATTCATTAAACAATTTGTGTGACAACCTCATCATATAAATAGAAACAAAGGCAATATAAGAGAGCTGGCTGTGAGAAAATGAACCAGAAGAAAGTCATCTCAATAGGCAGAATACAGGAAACTTCCAAATAAATCCGTTAGCTTTTCACTAAGGTATACTCTTAGCAGAATTAGCTTCACTAGAAGCACATTAAGCATTCACTTCTGGAGCCACGCAAGACCAGCCTGTGAGCAGAGCAGCCTCAAGAAGAGAGGGGAGACCCCTTCCCTCGCCGAGGCCTGCCCCGGTAACACCACGCCCCGCAAGAGGGGAAACCGCCCAGCTCGGCGGCGGGCAA